TTCCATTTATTCCCTGCCATAGCTACCACCAAGGATGAGACAAAAGATGTTTGATTTTTTCTCCCTTTGTTTGTCCTTGGACCTAGCCACTGGCAGCTGCTGTATTGGCACCAGTTGTGTATAAGATTCCATAAAGCAGAAGGAGGAATTTAGGTTTATAAAACTACAGACATTCCCCTTCATCCCTTCCAATTGCAGCCCAAATCAGGCTCTCTGGCTGGGATGGTCAGGAAACAAGTGCAAAAATGTGACTAGACTGACTTATTACTGCAGGGAACTTCCACTTCCCTGGGGGAATCCCCGGTAGAGAATGTGGGTATTTTCCACCGTGCACGAGGCAGACAGTCTGCTTTAGATTGATTGTGGTCCACTGGGTTCCTGAAATGCATTTGGTCACTCCTACTGAAGGGACTGAACGAGCCTGCTTATGGGGTTTGGTTTGCTGTGAAGGATGCAGAGCCTACACTCTAAGCATGCATTAATCATGCATTAAACATAGAGAACATTAGCCCACATTTTTCTGGAACCTTAACTTTATTAAAAGGGAACATGAGTGCCCACGGCTTCTTTTTCACTGTAAAGATGTAACTTTCCCAACAGAACCACAGAGATCCTCAGAATTTTACCCATCTTTTATCAGAAAACCAAGCTCTGATCCTGTGAATTAAGATGTTATGAAACCAACAGAAAATAATAGGAATGCGGAGGTGCTGAAGAGTGTGGAAGTAACACCTAAAACACCCCAATTTTCTTTTCTAACCTATCTTCACTTTTCAACATTTTCTCCCACATATGGTGATGAATTAAGACAGGCAATGCAGGGAATTCTTCCAGTTACAGGTCAATGCATTACAATAGCTCTGGAGATAAAGATTTTTCCCTTCAGTACATGCAATATGAGATTTTTTAAAGCAGCGGCTTAGTCTAGGATTCAGTTGTCAACAATTTCTGTTGTTTCCGTGAAACTACCATGGAATTATCCTGTGCAATTATCTTGCAGTTAGGCTCTAAGTGAGGCTCTAAACCAGCGCACAGAAACAAACCTCTGTTCCGGACACTATGCAGTTAATTTATTCCCTATCTTAAACAAAAATAGAGGCTTTCATTAAGGACACCGAAGCAAGTTATTACCTTCCTCCTACCCACTCCTAATATGTTTTATCTTTATTCTTTACAATCCTAGATAGCAAAGCAGCAGAGAGCCACCAGGATTTCTGATGCCACATGGTTATTGTCCCAGTTGTTTGTTCTGGTTCCAGCTGAGTGATAGTGGGAGCAGTTCTGCTTCTGAGCAAAGGGGAGGAGGAGCTGCAAATTCTTCGTTTTTTAGGCTAGAATTAAAGAGACCTTAAAAGCTGTTTGCCACACAACTTACAACTCCTTTTGTATTTAATGGCCTGAAAATATTAGAGTGAATAAATGCTAATGATTTGGGGGTTTGCAGCATTGTAGAGCAAATAAAGAAGTCAGGCTAGCAGTAACTTGCCTCTGTGTTCACACAATCATTTTACTTCAGAATGCATTATTTGAATAACAGGCTTACCTAGTGTTCAGGATTCAATCAATGTTTTTCTTGATATAGGATGTCATTTTTTAAGTGATGAGGACATACACAATTAACTGAAAACTCAAATTTCTGCTGCAGATATCTGCTTTGCTATGCCACTTTATTCCACATGCTGAGAGAAGAGAAACAGAAAGAAGAATCCTGATCCCTGAATCACTCAGATACTGCATTTTCAAACACAGATGGCACTTCAGAGATCAGGGTACCTTTGAATTTCAGTTTACATTTGCCAACGTACAGAGCGGGATTCATCCACGTGGCAACAAAAGCAAAGCAAGATTGTAGAAAAAAAAATAGTTTATTCTCACACTGCATCTATCTACAAACAGGAGAAAGAGAACTACCAAAGAGGGAAAAAACAGACAACAGGTAGATCCTCTGGATGGTCCTTACAGCTTTGTGCCGTCATAGTAGCATAAAGAAAACCAACTATGGGAAAAGAATCCTGGAACAGCATAAAGCTACTACAGAAACTCCTCACTCTGTGCCCCCAGCACAGCTCAGGATGGAGGACCAGACCAGGGCCTGCTGCTGAGAGCTGCCTGCTGTCCACTATCCAAACAGCCCCACGGGGCCCAACTCCCAGCAGGGCAGAGATGGGGGGAACAACACAGGCTTTGACAGCTCCTGTGGAGCTGGAAAGTGGAATCAGGTAAAAAATGAATAAAGGCACCTTTGTCCCCATTCCTCCAAACTTTGCTGATAATAGTTCAGATGGATGAAACAAACTAGCTCATTAGGACTTGGCTGGAAAAGATTGATGTAACAATCAGGCACATCATGGATGAATGAATATTATCATCTCACTTTTTAATATAAAATAATAAAGTTTTGAAAGAGAGATATGCTATCACAAGATAGTTATGTCTTCACCTATACCACAGTTGAGATTTCTCATCTTTTCTCTACCTAAGAAAACCAAATCCCTTTTACCAGTTACAATTTGACAATGGTGCTCATTCAATGACTTTAACAGTGATACATAAATGACATGTCCTTTTAAATGGGAATGAACAGTAGTGCATAAACAGAAATGCAGAAAAAAATCAAAGTTGCATTTTCCTATTTCTTTTTTGACATGGAACAATATTTCCCTGTTTTTTTAACTAAAAAGAAATGGATAAAATTCACTATAATTGATTACAGATCTCACTATAGCTAAAAATGTAAAAATACCTGAAAAATCTAAATAGATCTATCACTTCTTTAAATAAAACACTTCTAAATGGAAACTTTGCTCAGGTTTCTCCAACTTCATAGACTTTGACTGACATATCTGCCCTTATAACAGACACTCAAATCAAGAGCCCTTAACAAAAGTGTCCTTAACCATAATAGTTTTAAAGCATGACTGCCTGTGCCAGGTGAAATGAACTCCGGCGTGTCTCCACAAAGAAGCTCCAAGTCTCTGTGAGAGTAAAGAACTCACGTTGCTTGCTTTGGATGTGTCTGGTGGTGTAAATAGTGTCAGCTTTTAGAAACCACACTAAACTAAGCATGGGGGGGGGGGGAAGTGTAACTGTGTGCCTTAGCACTCCAGCATGGGTGAAATCTAACAGTGAAGCATTGCCACTCACTTCAAAAGGGCCAGGATTCAACCTATATAATCCAAATTTAGAAAAGTCTTCCAAAGGATTTTTGAGCAATATTATGCCACCTTTAACATCTGAGGGCCAAACACATTATTATGAAAGGTCAAAAGGATAAAAATGGGAGCAGCTGAGTACCCTGCCCTACTCTCTTTACACTGCACAGGTAGGGCTCATTCAAAACCTCTGCTTTTAAAACAGGGCACACCTCAGTGTGTATGTTCTATTCATAAGGCAGTACAAACCTTCTGCCTAGTTTAGTTGTCCTTAATTTAAGCCCTACCATTTAGGGCTCTGGGCCAGAGGTTACACACCAAAAGAAAAAATCAGGGCCTGACTCGCGATGACTCAAACCTCTCACTTGGTGCTGAAACACTTCAGTGCTCCCTTGATTATTTTGGCACTGGGAAATTATGACCCAGATTCTGGGACACTGTATGGCCCCATCCTGCCCCTGTCTCAATTAGGCTATTCACTCAGCTTCTTTCTCTGTGCTGCCTGCAAATCCTAGCAGGAAAGATCTGTAATGAAGCACCATGAACTGCCACCAAAGAGACATCCTGAGATGGGCCAAGGAGTTAACACAGATCAATGTGTGCCTCCTTTTAAGGCACCCTTATGCTGTCAGAGCAACACTAAGGAAATATGGTTAGAAGAATCATTTAGAATTTAATTTTATCACTTCCTGGATGGTTTTCAGGAGGTCTCTTTTCAAATGACTGAAAGGAAAAAGCATGGTTTAAGTGATTTTAGAAAAGGCAGCCATGATGTCAAGAGTGTACAGTGCACCTTTCAGCACAATGAGTAGCATTACTTGCAGGAGGTTTGCATTTTTTGAAGGACTTTCACACCTCATATTCTATTAATTACTTCATTATTAGTTCTTCCAAGAAAGTTAATGTATGCTTAGCAGATAGAAACCCACCTAGCTGACATTAGGAGCTTTTCTCCATCACAAGCAAGAAAATATCTTGTAAATGCACACAGAATAGGAAGAACTAGCTGACTGTGGTATTTTTAGGTTTAGGTGAAAATATTACTGGGATTATTTAGCAAAGAAATAGGAGGAGGAAATAAACCAAGTAATTTAAAAACAATTTCTCAACAAAGAAAATGATCAATTTTACATACAGGTAAACTGCAAAAAACACTCATGCTATCTGGATATAATACAAGAGCAGGTATCAATGATGTTTCTAATCCTTATTTACCTCAGTAACGCTTCAAGTTCTCAACTTCTGTATGTTTGGTGGCATAAGCTCCACCTACACCTCAACCATAAGTCAGAAAAAATACAATACTTCACAGCTCAAGCAGGGAGAAACTTTTCCTCCTACATGTGGAATGGTAAGAACACGTTTTATTTTTTTAACTCTTTTAGTTGTTAAAAGAGGGAAAACATTTTGACTTGGCATTACCCCTTTAGCCCTTAGCTGGTATATTTCTCTGTTAGAGGAAGAAAGGTTTGAGGTGATAGTTTACATAACATAGCTAAGCACATTATGTAAAGATTAAAGCAGCAGGGTCGGCACAGGGACAGACGTGTCTCATCGCCCAGTGCAGCCGGGGTTACCTGACAGCCAGTTCTGCTGGAGGTTTGTTTTCTTCCAGGTTAATATTCCCACTAAACAACTAACATTTAACTGCGGCTCTGCCTTGGCCTCTCCCATTCCTGACTGCGATGCTTTCCACAGAGGCAATGCCTGCCTGCGTGGGAGGTGAGGTTCATTTACCTGGCCACAATCAGGCGACTGCGCCTATCTCCAGCCGGGATGCTGCACGTCACCGGGGCCGCCAGCGGCCGGGGGCGGTTTGTGCCACCCAGCCGTGCTGATGCCACGCAGCGGTCGAAACTACCACGGTGACACAAAGTGTGGCCACCGAGTGCCAAGGGCCTGAGCCCTGGCTGCAGGCCGGCCGAGGCACCGCGTACCCTCACGCCGCCCCTCCCCAGGTACCGCGTCCCTGCCCGCCCGGGGCATCGGCCGCGTCCCCTCCGGCTGCTCCCGCGGAGACAAAGGCGCTGGGGAGCTGCGGGCCGCCGGGACTGGGGAGGGGGCGGAGGAGGGGGCGACTGCCGAGGGGAACAAAGGAGCCGAAAAAGACGAGAAGAGCCAAGAAAGTTGATACCGGCCTCCGCCACCCCCTGCCCTGTCCCGGCCCGCCCCTTGCACCTCCCGGACTTTCGTGTGGGGGCCCGCAGCAGCCCGGCGGCGGGGAGAAAGGCCGAGTACCCTCACCTCCATTTCCCCCCCCGCCCCGAATCCCCGGCCGAAGGTCCCAGCTCGCCCCATCCCCTCCCATCTCCTCCTCCTTCTTCTTCTGCCCCGCTGACCCCGCCCAGCCCCCGGTGCTTCCCTTTAACGCGCGCTCCCGCCGCCGGCTCTTGCCCCTCCCCCGTGCCCGGCGGCGCGCGGCCTCCGCCAGCCCCCGCGGACGCGCGCGCCCCCATCCCGTCACTTCCCCCCCCCCCCCCCCCCCCCGTTCCCTTGCCGAAGCCGCGCGCGCGCCCCCGCCCTCCCGCCCCTCCCTCGGGCCCGCGAGCGCCCGGGATAATTGGCTGGCGGGCGCGCGCGCGCGGCGCCGGGCGGACGGGTGGGGGCGCGCGCGCGCGGAGGCGGCGGCGGTGCGCGCGCGCGCGCGGCAGCGGCTTCACTTCTCTCCGGGCAGCGGGGGCAGGAGCGGCGGCGGCGGGAGAAGCGGCGGCGGCTGTCGCTGCTGCTCGGGAGAGACGGGAAAGGGGAGAGGAAGCCGAGAGCGAGGAGCGCGGGGCAGCGGGCTCATGACTCAGTGAGCGGCTGTAGCCCCTTTCCAGCCCCGCGCCCGGCCGGAGTCGGGGCGACCGCGACGGATTGTCCCGCAGCTTGTGCCCGGCGCCAGCGAGAGAGAGACCTGCGCTCGCCTGCAGGTAGCGGCGGCTTTCCCTCCGTCTCTGCCGGGGTACACCTACCTCTGCCCCGGCTGAGCTCCCCGTCTGCCTCCCCTCCCCCCGCCGGGCTCCTACCCCCCCGTCGCTCGCCATCCCTCCCCCACGGCAGCACCCTCTCTCTTCCCCACGTTTATCTGCCACCCTCTGTCTCTATCTTTATCCTTCATCTTCCCTGCCCTCTCCGCATCCCCCTGGTGCTGCCTGGTACCCCCCTTGCCCCCCTTGTCATCCTCGGCCGTGCCCTTTCATAGCAACCGTCCCGGCCGCCCCCCCCACCGCCCCCGGCCACCTCGGCATCTCTGGCGGCGCTCCCCGCTCCCCCAGGCTCCATCCAGCCTCCATTGCTCCTCAGCACCCCCACACCCTTTCAGCAACTCTTCCGTGTCCATTTGTCCTGCTCGCCCTGCTGCGGGCGGGAGCAGCGACCACCCCCGCTCCCCACCCCCGCTCCGCATGGTCCCCGCGGTACTCTCTGCGCCCCTGGGGCGCCGGGGTACCCCCTGCCCCCCACCACGACCGAGCCTCCTGGGATGCGCTGTCCCCACAGCCCCCGCCGCAGCGGTGGGCACCCCGGGCTGGAACCCTTCGGGAAAGGCACTAAGCCCCCACCCCCGCGCCCCAAGGAGCCCCGCAGCCCAACCCTCTCCCTTCCCGCATGTGCCCCCGACGTCTTCCTCTCTCAGTCTCCTCCTCCTCCTCCTCTCCTCGGTTGTCTTCTACTTCTCACCCCGGCCCGGCCGCCGCCCGCCCGGCCGTGGGAGTGCGGGGGTGTGTGGTTCTGGGGATGCTCGTGGCCCCAGCCCCTCCCGTGCGGCGGGGGCTTCCCGACGGGAGAGTGCCCACGCGGGGCCGTGGGAGCCCGGGGCTGCCCTCCTGTCCCGTCCCGTCCCGTCCCATCCTTCCGGGTGCCCCTCTCAGTGGCGGAGCCTCCTCTTGCACAGACTGGGCTCTTTCTGCCTCCCGTCCCGCGATGCTGTGGTCTTTTAGCCCTTTATGGTTCCTAATGAAGATGAAGTAAGGCGGCTGCTGCCATTGCTGCTCGTGGTGGACCCTGCAGAAATACTCAATTTATCTTGGCTTATAGGAAATTACGAGCGCTTTAGAAAGACATCATCACTAGCTCTGCCGCCCTTGGGACCCATCTGCACATTGCCAGAATCTTGCTGTCCCCGACTGGTGGATTTTTTTTTTTTTTTTGGTGGTGTGTGATATCTGATGATGACTGGTGGTTTGGGGTATTCTTGTCTTATTTGTTTTTATTGTTGGTTTGTTTGTTTTTGTTGTTGGTTTGTTTGTTTTTATTGTTGTTGTTTTGGTTTTGTTTTTAGTTTGAGGAGGAAAGGGAAGGTGCCGGTGGATATATTTGACAAAAGCAAAATATTTTGGACACCCTTCACTTCAAATCGATAGTTGTAGTTACACTTGTAATCTCTCTCGGTGCTGATTCATCTCACGTTAAGGCAGAGACTTTTAAGTCCCCCTTCATTCCTTCCTCTGCCCCCTCTGCTCATTTTTCTCTGCACAACAGCAGGGAGGTTAGCAACCCCCGTCTGAATGTAGAATAGCCTGGCAGCCGGGAACCTGGACATCGTGTGTCTTCCTCTCGCCCTGTCTGACAGTTTCAAACACACTTACAGCTCAAGGAGTATCTTGTGTTTCTGCCTGTGTTAGTGGCAGCAAAATGTTTTCTTCGCGGTGTCATCCTCTCAGTTGACTTTTTCCCCCATTCTCTTACTTGTTCATATGTTTGTGTGTCTTCTAAGTTTGACCCCATTAGAAATGTCTTAATTTCAGGCCCCTTAAAACACACTTTTACCGCAATATTGAGCATCCTAAAATTGCAGGTATTGTGAGGAGAGGGAATAGAAAGAGTTGCCTGGATGTTAGAAAGAGGAACAGGGACAGAAGGAGAAAAGAAAAAAACACCCAAAAGCCAGCAACATCCCCCCCCCTCCCCCAGAAAATAGCCAGACATCAAATGACAGATTTAAACATTTTCCTCTTGTACATGCTGGCATTACATATTACAGTAATTATATGCTCTGGGCTACTGTTACAGTGTTTGTCTGCTGGATAGTAACCTGAACTTATGAAGTGAATACAGTTGTTTTTTGGATAATAGTAATATTTATAGCCAAGATTATTCATAGCAGATGTCCTATGCATATAAGCATTATTAAATATGCTTTTAACTTTCTGGCCTGCAGTGTTAAAGCCTATGTACATTGTGAAGAGAGAATTTTTCTCTTTAAAATTAGATGTATTAAGCAAAGGTCAGAAGTAAAATCTAGGGCAAATAAAGGCCAACATTAAGTGTTATAAAAAGAGATGAGGTTGTATTTTAGCTTTATATGGAAGCAAGGAAAATGGGTACTTACTACCAAAATTGCATTATAGTTGCATATTTTGACTTTTCAGAATGTGATATTTTTGTTGTTTATTACCTCTAAGTGTTCTGCTGCTTTACCTTGAAATCTCACAACCAAGATTTAAATATCTGAACATCAGCCTGTGTAAATTTATGAACTATGTTAAATGTATTGTTGTAGCTGTACTATAGGAGAAATTGTTCTCTAGGAGTGGACATTTTTTGTATTTTAATTTTAGGACAGAAACTCTGCATTATTTCAGTTACCTTAATGAGCAGGTTTGGTGTTGTGTATTTATATATATTTAGATTCGAAAATACTGTTTTCTGTTATAAAATCAAAAATGCAGCTTAAGCTGATGAAGGGAAACTTTAGTCACATATCTATTGATGGTATTGATGGCTGTTTCTTTTAATGCCTAAACATTTTGAAGGGGTGCCATACTTCTAGAATTCTTTTTCAGTATAGCTTCACAAGATAGACAAAAGAGACCTAATTCCTCCTGAAGTTAGTTGGATGTGTCAATAATGCATAAAGAGATTATTTCTTCTACTCCATAGTGTGTATTATTTGATAGAATTAGATCTTGGCAAGGGTTTTTCAGTATAGGAGTACATTTATTTCTATTCTGTAACAAGAACACTTAGGCCTTTTTAAAAAGCGTCCTTTTCAACATAACCCTGTTGGCATTGATATTAATTTACTTTTCCTTTGCTGTCTCTTTCCATAAATATGTACAGGGAGATGAACTTTGTTTAATCCATAGAACAAGCATGGTTGTATCTGAGCCTGAAATCTCATTATTCTCCCTTGAGCAAGCCTTAAAACATATAATAGTCTAGGTGAATAGTTTTGTTCTTAATTGTGATGATGTCTGTACATAGGTAAGAGGAAAAGACAGTTGAAGTTCACAGCAATTTGAAACTCTTTGTGTATGAAAGAGCAAATTCTTCATTCAGACAGATTTGATCAGAAAACCACCCAGATATATGGGGATTGTGTGGGTGTAAGCAAGTAACATTTGGGCCTGTGTGCTTTTTATTAAAAATCTGTAGAGAAGGATATGTAACATAGGTATCTAAAGTACAGATTTGGAGTTAAAGGAAATACCTGGATTTCACTTTGGTTTTAATTTGGTTTTGGTTTTGTTGGTTTGGGTTTTTTGTTTGGTTTTGGGTTTTTGTTGTTTTTTTTTTTAATCAGTTACCACCAGATATGCAAATTCAGTAAGGGTTTTTCATGGACATCTGCCCTTCATTAGAGCAGTTTGAGAGTTTGAGAAGTCACGGCAGCTGTAACAGTGGGCTTGTAATCCCTCATCTGTCGGCATATTGTTATACTATTTAAAATGAAGGAAGACATTGAAATAGCTAACTAGTATCAGAAGTGTGTGAATAAAGCATTAACTTGACTTCTGAAATATGCTGAGGTTTCTTGCTGCTCATGTTCTCTGACAAGTTTGTTGCTTCATGTTGCCTGAAAGAAACGTCAGGAAAAAACTTGGTTATATCCTTTACCAACGTGCTCACCGCTTTAGTAAATACAAACAGTCCTGTGTTAGAGCATTTTAGTTCTGTGTTTCCATCAAGCATGCCAAGATGTGGATTTTGTAATGTGGAAACCCACATTGTACACTTGGAATGAGCCCACAGATTTATTTCATATGGGATAACAGAGAGTGCTAAGATAGTAATAACTCTCAGTTTTTAACTAGCTGTGGTAGATTTGAACTGGTGGCATAGTTGATGGGACAGCTAACTGATGGTATTGCTGAGTGGTTGAAAAGCATAATTCACAGTGAATGGCTTTACACTTGCAGGATTATGTTTCCCACTTAACTTCAGTAACTTCTGGTTTTCATACATATATATATGTGTGCATGTGTGAAGAGTTTGGCAGGGGGATTGGTTTGTGTGTTTGTTTTGTATTTTTTGTTTGTGGGTTGGTTGGGGTTTTTTGGGGGTGGCAGTAGTATAGGGTTTAAAATTGCCAGCTCCTGAAATATTGTTAAGATGCTTGTGGCAAAACTCTTCAGTACAAGGATTACTGAACTACTGTGACACAAGCATTATTTTATTAGGACAAAGACATATATCCCAAGTGTTCTTTCCTTAAGCATGTAAGAAACACAATTAGGCAGTTTCTTCTCAAAAAACTAACTTCAGTTGTTTTTCTTTGTTCAGTGCAGCATCTGCCATGTCTACAGAGGGGCAGAGAGTGGATGATAGTCCAAGCACCAGTGGAGGCAGCTCTGATGGAGATCAGCGTGAAGGTGTTCAGCAAGAACAAGAAAGGGAGCAAGTTCAGCCCAAGAAAAAGGAAGGAAAAATATCAAGCAAAACAGCTGCTAAATTGTCAACTAGTGCTAAAAGGTACAGTGTTCTTCCTGGTTGTTTCTTCCTTTCTCTTCTTTCAGCTGGTCATCAGATCCATGTATTGACTCAGTATATTAATTTTTCTGATTGTTTTATTACAACATTACTGTATCAGTGTAATAACCTTTTGAGACTGGTCACAATAATGAGACCTGTATACTTTTCCCTTTCTTTGTCAGTTTGCCTCTTTCACATGGTTTTAATAGTTGCTTGCATGATAAAAGCTGACATTTTTTTATTGCTAATAAAACTCAGACAGTTTTGTAGCCTTATAAAATATATCTCTGTATATGTATGTATGACTGATGTTGAAACTTGTCAGTATAACTTACAGTTAATTAGCCATAAACATTTCAGACAGTTCAGTAACTCAGCATGTTAGGACTACCATAATACCTATTGCCATGAAGTACTGCCTTTTCTTTTCCCAGATGGTCAGGTCAGAAATACTTGAGTGAACAACAAATGTATGTTGGTTTCATTACTTTGAACTGTGATCTGTTTTAATACCCATTTTTTTTCCCTCCCTTTTCTGATTGAGATGAAAGGTTGGTTTGTAGAATAGCTATTTAAATTATTCTATGCTATCATGTCCATCTCCAGATAACGATTGTCTTGCTGGGACCAGACAGAAGGAATTTACAGCTTAGTGTTGCTTCGTTAGTACACGTATGGTTGTAAGTCTGGGCAAGTGGGATTATAGCGATTGAAGTTAAAAAGCACTCATAAAATAATCTGACAAGAGACCAATTCTGCAGACTGTCCTAATGCAGAATTCCCAGATCTCGTTTCTTTGCTAGTCCAAGGCAGTGTAAACTACCAGACAAAACACTGGAGTTGTACCACTGTGGTGCTGTGGTAAAGGAGGAGCATCGAGCCCCTGCTGCCATAATTTATAACATATGCATGTAGTCAGAGTCTGTAAATAATACTATATAAATATGTGCGTACATCTAGTCAGGATTCGAGTCTTTGTTTTGCCCTAATCTGTCCCTTACCAATTAAATCCATTTCTAAAGTATCTTTAGATACTTTAGTGAAGATACTAAAGTATCTTCTGTATTTCCAGTCAGGTACTGTCATGTCATGCTTTTCTTCTGCTATAGATTCCTTTCTTACAGCTAGTTTTCTTCATTTTTAATTCCCTGGAGAAATACTTTCTGGACACACATTCCTGCTGTGACATTATTAGGAGATTACCTGGTCATATCACTTACAGAATGGCCAGCAAAACTTGCCTGTGTTTCCTTCTATGACAAGAAGGGAAAAAAAAACACACCCAGCTTTCACTACAAATCATGATGTTATTAATGTAGTTAATCCTCACAGCTGTTATGGTTTCTGGTCTTCTCTTTCATCTGCTTCCTGCTATTATTATTTTTTAAATATTAGGAATATTGGATTAGTCATGACTTTTAAGGTCATAAAAACAGTTTCCAGCATCTTTAGAAAGCAGTCTGTGTATTCTGAACTTTGTACAATGCCTGGTGTAATGATGCTAGGATTCTGACAAGGGCCTGTGGACACTATCCTATTAAAAAATTAATAACGATATGTCAGAAATTGGTCTATTAATCTGAGCTTTGTATCTTCAAAGCTTAGAGCTTTTATCAACAAGCATTTTACAGTGATAAAATTACTTAAACCTTTTAAAGTTTAATCATATCTGCTTATGGTTCTGCTGAACCTAATTATGCCATCAGTTGCTGACTTCAGTACATTTGCCAGTTAGACTCTAAAGCTAGTTTCACATGTGTAGTAATATTGATTATACATTTTAGAAATACACATTTGATTATATATTTTAAAAGCTGACATGACTTACAATAGTTCTGTAGATATGTGTACATTTTTGAAGAGAAATATAATTTAGGAGTGCGGATTCTTGGAACACTTTCTGGAAGGATTACAGAAACAGTTGTTGTAGTAATGTTGTTTTTTTTTTTTTTTTTTTTTGTATAATTTTTTCCCCTTTTTTTGTTTTTGAATATTCAGTAGTTTGTCATTGTGTTAGAATTGGAATTGCACCTTCTCTAATTTGGACAGGTTTTCATATCACAGGTTTTGTTTCTGTGCTTTTTAATTAAAATCAGTTATGTCTCAAGAAAGCCAAGTCAGAAATTAGAGGCTAAAAAGGAGGGGAGTTGCATAAAGGAAGGAAAAATGTCTTAAAGTCCTCAATATGTTATAAGTATTCCAAAAACAGTCTGTATGAAAGATCTTCATAGTAATATTGTTATTTTAGTTCATTATGAATGAGAAATAGTGCAGGTTTAATAAGGCCTTACTCTGGTACCTTTATTATGGTGAAAGGAGTCAACTGCCAAACAATCAGTAAAACTCTCAAACAACAGAGTGTAGCACAATTGTGGCTTTTGTCAAGATTCCTTAATTTCTTTAAAAGCTTTGAAGCAGATTCAAAAAAACAGCACCAGCAAGTTCACTGTACCTAAAGTCACAGACTACAGGCTTGATTCTAACCTGAGTTTGGAAATCAGATTTTCTCACTTGGAAAGCTTTTTTGTCCGCATGGAATTCTAGCCACAGTTTTTTTGGATTGCATTATGATACCCTCTGTATATGGAGGAAGGTTTGTGCATCTCTATTTGGAAGACTCCTGTTTTGCTTTTCATTTGTGTTTTATGGAGTCAGTAAAAGAATTTTCAGTAGCATGAGGTTTTATAATAATCAAGATTTATCAGTGTGCTGACTTTTGCTTATGTAGTTGTAAACTGCTCCCTGTCTTATGTATGAATATAAGCATGCAGCTTAACTGCTTTCCAAAGTGATCTGATTACAGAGGCTGTGTGAAACCACTCATATTTCTATTTCAGTAAAATTTTTGGTACTGAGATATGGAATTTCTTCTGTTAGCATTGCTGTGGATGGCATCAAGAAGGCAGAATGCCATCACATGCTGTCCTTCTCTGTTAATACTTCAGGACTAGCTGCTATACAGGTGTAATAGCTTACAGCATATGTCGTGCAGTGTACCGGTCCTTCAATTTTCCTCACCCAGAGGGCATCACCTTAAATAGCAACCTTTCTTACCCAACATGTCAAGATTGAGAAACTCACTGCATATCACAATTACAGTTCAGACATGGAATTGAATTGCTGTCCTTGAAAACAGCAGGCATCTTGTTACCTCTTAAGTAGCAAATCTTGGCATGACCTTTGGATTGAGAGAAGTGTAACCATTCTTGGCTGACATGGTAGCTCAACAAATAAATGTATTGTTTTGCTTGGCTCCTGAAGTTGCTGGTTGAAAATCTGTAAACCTTTATGTCCAGTCCTGACATTTTTAAATAAATATCTGTGCCTACAACAAATTGTGAACTGTACAACTTTAGTTGTAATCTTTTAATTATTCAAAGAAGTTGCAGCCTTAAGGAGTAGCAAATAAGTGATAGATTAAATTGGTTCAAAATTCAACAAAAGTGAGTATTTCCTGCCCCCCCTCATCTTTTTTTTTTTCCTGAGAGGTTTATCATAGAATCTGGAAATTATATTTAGCATGTTGAATATGATGGCAAAATATGGAGTGCTTTTTCTTACAAGAAATATCCTTGTAATTTATCCATCTTTTAATAAGTAGGTGAGAATATTTCTTTTCCTCCAGTATGAAACTAACCATCTTTAGATCAATTTCCTGCACAATTTATTTAGTATTGAAATACATACCAGTGACTGCATTTTTAACTATGTTCTAAGTAGTATATTCTTTGATATAAGCTATTGATTCATCTGGCTTTTATGGGTAGAGAGACATGTAGTTTAGAAAAGCAGATGTGGTAGAAAGAGTTTATTGTCATGTGGTCCTTTATTTCATTTCCTATTAATAAGGTTGGGAGATTCTCTAACATGTTCACATCTTTCTTAGCTTTATGGAATTGTCTCATGAAGGAAACAACTCAGTCCCTCTTGGCTTGGTACAGTAGTAAATATGTGTCTGTGAGAATTAATAATATTTGAAATCCACAATGTACTTTCATGCTTCTGAATTTACGAGTTGATTAACCATTGCACCATTACTGGAAGGCAACTGTGTTTGTTCTTTTCTGTAAGTTATATGGAGGGATTTTTTTTTATATATGTGTGTGTATATACATGAGAGAGAAGAGTCAGTTGACTTCTCTAAGACCAAACAAAGTATCAGATCTGACATTGCAAATTAAATGTCTTATGTGTGCAGCCCAGGGCTTTGATTACCAGCAAGGGCCCACCCCCTGCCCTTGTCCCCATTGTCCAATATGTAATAAACCATAGTGTCATTAGTTTAAATATAAACTGGATATATGTAATTATTTCAATATAGAGGGTTTTTCCTCTCTGACATTTTTAAACATAACTGTTATTGAGGCAGAATATCCAAATAAACAGATGCCAGAAAGGACCCTGAAAAAAAATTTTTTGTTGCCGGAGGCCCCGTTTCATGGCGGTGAGTCCTCTGTGGTCAGCGAAGGAAATGAGGCACGTCCTCTCCCATGGCAGATTCTGAGGGCAGCTCAATGGGGATAGAGGCGAGTGCCAGGGCACGTGCAGACAAAGGGCAGCTTGCACACTGGAGGTCTCTATCAGTGCAAGGCTCTCTGGGATGCTGTCCGATGATTTAATTGTAACTTTGAATGCTGTGACATGTGAACAAGCTACGTGTCAGCTGTTCTACAGAAACTGTTTATGAATGAGCTCTCAGCGTGAATGCAAGGTAAATTAAGGTTGCAACAAAAGAAATGTAAGGTGTATAAATTAATTTTAGTTTGGGACACCACAGAGCAGGAGAATAAACATGGACAGCTTGCTGAGGAGCAATTGATGGACAGTATTGTACGAATATGTTTATCTTGTTTGTATAAAAATGATCATGAATTAAACATCTTTGTCTTAGGTATTTTTGCAAGAGCAATGATGTCTTTTGAACATTAATAGACAGTACCATCTGATCAATTTTTACATCTTGAGGCAGAAAGGTGGTTTGTCTGTGTCTGCTCAATCACAGAATAGCTTGGTAAAGGGCCATTTTAGTACTCTTGGCATTAGAAGTTTTGGGTTGAACTAGAACAGATGGAGAAAATGACACTGTTTTGTTTTCAGAATGTAAGGAACGTGGGTTAGGATTTAGGAGGAAGAATGTAAAGATTTTGATCTAGGACTGAAGTTGTTGAAGTTGTCAATCCATTCTTGACGTGCCTCATACTCACTCTAATGCCATGAAATATTAACAATTTTTACAACTATATGTAGAACAAAGGAATGATCTCTGACTCCAAAAACAAGTGCAATGCCATCATTCTGTAACTTGAAAAAAGGCTGAGAAAGCAAAACAACTCATAAACTACAAAATTTAAGTTTCCATGCAGCCTAGGTTTTCTGTAGTTTGAATTTGTGGTAGTATAAATTTCAAAATCATGGCAGAATTTTGTAATATACAGAAGAAATATTTTAAGCATTCCCATAGTTATAAGATCTCCCTTCTAAAAGTTGTGATTTGTTAGGATTGTTTCAAATGGGCTAACTTTTAAAACAACATTTTTGTTGTCCTTAAAATTCACTAATTAAAAAATGGGATGACTTTCAGTGTTACTACAATGATTTTGTGTTTGATTAAGCAGACTGTGCCTGTGTTTTTATAAAAAAATTATAATATTTATTGGAGGAATTCTATATGCTGGAGGTGCAAACATCTCAATGAGTAGAAAAAGCAAGTAAAGATCAAATTGCTTGCCCTCTACAGAAATAAGCTTGTGTGTTTGTGTGTATGTAGGGTATATACACTCAGCTATTCAAGGACTTGACTTGTAAGCATCATCTTGGGAATGTCCAGAAATCCTTAACATCAAAGTTGCCCTCCCTGGAGTTAGAACTCTGGCAGGATGCCTGTCATGTCTTTATGGGGTGACCTGGAGGATATGGCAGAATCCACGCTGAAGTTTTCAGATGGCAGCAAGCTGGGTGTGAGCATTTGGTACATGCAGGGGCATTTTATATTATATATGCCAATATACCTGAATGCTTATTTTGGTAAGCCATTTACTTTGCCTGTATTTATATGCATAGAAGTTAAAGAAAATCTAAGCATCTGGAAGAGTATTTTTATCTTTTCAATGCTGTCATCAGGTCTTAATAAATGATTATTACCTCTGCCTACAAATCTTACTCATGTATGTCCTGATTATTTCAGAATGTGAATGATAAAGGCTTGAGTTCCTGGTTCAGGCAGTTCTTCTACTGCTGTTGGTCCATTTATTCATTAGAGCCATAAAATCAATTCTTAGTGGCATAAGGGGAATTTTGATAGTGGCTGTGAGACTCCTAAACATGCAAGATTGTGTTTGGATTGTAGCAATATATAAAGAATTAAGCTGCTCTTTTTTGCTTTATATATGCCAGTATACCTGAATGCTTATTTTGATAAGTCATTTTCTTTACCTATATTTATATGCAAAATGGATAGCAGTCGTTTTTAACAAGATATGTGTAGGTCAGGCCTGAACCTTTGGCTTGTGGCTTGAGCACCTATCTCAGGAATTTGAGTGGTATTATTGTGTTATTATTTCTTTTTTAGTGTAGGGAGTAATAGAAATAGCAATCTGCTCTGTACATGAAATCTTGTGAAGGAGAAGGCAAAAAGAAACTACTAAAGATGTATTGAATTGTTTTTCTTTTCCTTCCTCCTTCTACATGTTTATGTTTTTGCACTGAAGTAGCCTATGAAAAAAGCCTTGGATACAGTTTATAGGGAAGGTGGCATTTGCAGTCCTGCTTATGGCATCATAGTCTGGCAAGTCTTTGGGAACTGTAAACTCCTACAAGTTCCTTTGGGAGCTCTGTATCATATTCTGCATACTTAAATTTCTTCAGAGGTCAAGATGCTGGCTCTGATGCAGATGCTGGTGTAAGGGAAAAGAGCCCCCATTGCCAGCTGTGGCAGAGATAAGCTATTCAAGGACTTGGCTGGGAAGCATCAGCCTGGGAATATCCAGAAATTCTTAACAACGAAGTTGCTCTCCCTGGAGGAAGAGCTCTGGCAGGATGCCTGTAATGTCTTTATTGGTGATCTGGAGGACATGGCAGAGTGCACTGAGAAGTTTTCAGATGACAAGCAGCTTGTACACACCAGGGCAAGGCTACGGCTCAGAGGGATCAGGCCGGGCTGCAGGAGAGGGTTGACAGAGAACTCATGAAATTCAACAAGGACAAATGAACACCATGGATGCGGGGAGGACTTACCCCTTGCTCAGATACACACTGGGGATCATCTCTGCTCAGAAGGATGTGGGAGCCTTGGCAAACAGCAGGCTCAGTGTGAGGCAGCGACAAAGGCTGGGCTGCCTCCTGGGAGGTATTAACAGAAGCATAGTCCACAGGCAAATGAAAGAGATTTATCTGCCTTTACTCAGCTCTCATTAGACTGTATCTGGATAGCATTTACCAATTTTATCCCCTCAGTAAAAAGAAGGCAGGTATCAGAGCAAGTCCAGCAGCAGGTCCCCAGGCTGACCAGGGAGCTGGAGCACTTCCCTTTGGGGGAAGCTGATATCAGCCCCCCAGTATATGTAGGAGGTTGTGAAGTCCTGGGTGGGCTTATTCTGGGCAATTTTCCTTTGAGCTGGGGGTTTTTTTCCCTGCCAGTACAATATACATTATTAAGAAGCTAAATATTCTGGAGGGCAAGAACTGCAAGACATATAGTCAGAGGGGAAATAGAGAAAGAGGGTATATGAGATATTTAGTAATTGTGTAAGTGAGCCAAGGAGCTGAGATTCCTGACCTACAGAAAAAGTGTGATTTTCTAGGTGGCTGCTCATGGCATTTGTTCCATACTGGATGTTCATTTTTCAGAAAATATTTAGTTTTTATTCTACATGTCTTGCACAGTTTCATGAAACAATATAGATCAACTTTCAGTCAGAAATTCTAAGAATTATATTTTGTTACTATTGATTGATGTAAAAATGTTCATAAAGTTGAAAAAAACAGATGGAAAAAAAGGTCCTGATAGTATCTTTTTTTTCTTTTAAGAATTCAGAAAGAACTTGCAGAAATTACATTAGACCCTCCTCCGAACTGTAGGTAAGTTCACCTGGATTTTATTAATTTGGAATATGGAAATTAAATGTATGGATCTGTGGAAATGGCATAGGGGACTGAAGTAAATTTTAGTTATTTTTTGTACTGATCATTTAGTAATTTTGGAATAAGAGCTGAGAGATAATATGTTGCCTACATATAAAGAATTGATATGACACCCTTTCTGGTAACAAAAGTAGTGGCATAAATGGATGAACTCTGTGATGCATTAATAGATACAGGACAAATACCAAATCATCCTTCATTTCAGATATTAAATCAATAGTTTTTTTTTGATTCTGTGAAATGTAATCTTGGTGGCAGTTGCTGGGTATATTTGGCTCCTTTCTTTGCAACTTGTTAATACACTGTGAATATAATGGAGAAAGGAGAGTGTTATAGGCACAAACTGTTAGTAATTTTCTGACTGTGTTTGTTGCAATCAATTGTGATATTCAATGGACACTTTCTGAGTTAGAGTATAGCATCATATAGACTTTCTGATAATGACTGTGTGCTTGCTTGGTTTCGGTGTTTCATTTTGTTGTGGTTTGATTTGGTTTGGTTTGAGAAGTGGAGGGGCAGCTTGTGTTTTTTTTGTCAGGTATATTTCCTTCTGGTATGTTTAAAATTGGCTTTGAAATGAATGATGAGGTAGACCTTGAAACCCTCACTGTCTGGTGGCTGGGGCTGTGTACAGTTGTTTTCAGATGGCTGTCTCGGGCTTCTTATCTGTCAGCTTGTGACATATGGTCAGTGTTGGAGCTGGGCCAGGGCTGTGCATTGCTGTTTAAAGAAGTCCCTGCTACTGCACCTCTCATGGTGAGGGGTTGGGCTCAGTGCAGAAGAATAGCTTCCACCCAGTCCTGTCAACCCATCTCAACTGATGTGGTTAGTAGGTTTCATTCTGTTACTGAACTAAAAAGAAAGATTGATAGAAATGGCTGATTGCATGCAGCGTTTATAATGAATCCCAGTATGTTTCGGTATCGAATTAACTAAGCAACTGGTTGTAAAAATGACAGTCAGCTTTATTGTTTTGGTCTCTTGACAAAAGTGTGTGTAAGAAAATACTCTAACAAGATTTGATGTGGTTGTGCTGGATCTCAAGATATAAGTCAAGTGGCTATGTGCCAAGGCACTGCTTAGTGAAGTAGCCTTGCAATAATAGCATTCAAAGAGTATTTCAGTCAATTAGGATGAACAGTTTTTTGCTGGATAAAACATTTTAATAGCTAAGCTGTTCTGTCATACTTACGACTATGTGTGAGTCTTCAATCACATCAAAGCTGTTTCATGTGGCAGATTTTACTTCGGTGTTGATGACTGATGCCTATTAGCGGATTGATTTGCTGAGATGAATATGAAACTTCAGTCTGTTGTAGAAGAATGGTTAAGTCTTTGAACTGAGAGTAAAAGGCTTACAGGTTTTTACAGCAGTGTCATTTTTTTCTGGTTTTCTGAAGCCTTCTCTTTATAACAAAGCACTTGTTTCAGTGTACAAGATACTATTATATTTGATTTTTTTTTTTGCTAGCAAGTGTAAAGTAAGCATTGACTGTCTGAGTGGAAAGCCCTTTAGTGACTTGCAATTTACAAAAAAAACCCAAGTAATCAGGAGGTTTCATGGGTTTGTTGAATTATTTACACTAATGATAAAACAGCAATAAAGTGCACTCCATGATGCTGTTTTGCAAAATCACATCTAACTTCATGTGTCTGCTGCTTTAATGCAGTTCTTAAGATGCAGAATTACTTCATGTTGTAATAGATTGATAGATAACCATTAGTAACTTTAATATTAGCAAATATGTTTTTATAGTCAATACAGAATCACTTCATTTAGTTTATGCTTTGTTGACATAGTCTAAACAGTGTTTTCATTTGAACTTCATCTATCTTCTGTTATAGTTAAATGTTACAAAATAAATACATCAGCCAGGCATGATTCTTTAGAATAATGAGGAAAGCTGAGCTATTGTACAGTATATCTTAAAGTACTGATAGATTCTTTCTTAGTTTTAATGAAATTTAGGTCATTGTTAAAAGACATGTTAGCTTTTTCTATTAAAAAGCTTAACCATATTTCATAAAGGTAAGTTCATTCCAGATGTAGGTTGCTTGAAATGGTTGTGATTCCATCTTACTTTCACTGTATGTACTCCTTCATATATAAAATAAATAATGACTGGGCAATAGGAATGTGATAATTCTGAAAACTAAATGTTATAGGAGGTGTGAAGGAAGTATTATTCAAGAATACAGCTATCTTAAATAGCTGCTTAGGAAGATCTGATAGAAAAGCTGTTGAGCTGAATTGGAACTTAGGTGGAGTATTGCAAAATAATTTGCAAGACTTCACTAACTACAGCGGGCCAAAGCTTCAGGTTTCTTCCATTCATGAAAAAAGCCCCAAATGGAACAGTATCTGTAGCACAGTAGCATCCCTCAATTGCATGGCAGGCTACACTGTCACTACAAGCTCCAAGGCAGCTGCAGCTTCCACTGCTGCAGCAGCTGTGATCTTAACATTTCCCCTGCCTCATCCTTGTGAAGAGAATAGACTGTATAATCTTTGTGTTTGTTTGGAAGACAAAAAAGTCTTGCTCACAAATGTGCCTTGGAATCGGCGGATTATCACTGCTGGGACTTGCAGCATCTTTCCAAAACTGTGGAAAGCTGTGGGCTTCAGAGTTCCTACAAAATCTGTCACTTCGGCTTTAAAAGATTTAATACTATAAGAAATTAGAGTCGCCTGCCTCCCTACTTCCTTTTCTGTAGTTTGGGTACTGGGCAATGGAGTGAGTCCTCTTGGCTCCACAAACTTTGGCTCCTTCCTCAGGACTGAGACTGTATAATGTTCTACATGTAAAAAAGCCAAGCTGGGGAGGGGGGTGTGGGGTGTGGGAGGTGAGCAGTGTAATCATTGCTATTTTTGGAGGAAGGCATGTCATAAAAGCCTGTTATACTTCACTTTTAACAGAAAGAACTGGATGGTTTTCAGTATGTGTTGTCCCATCCCTTCCCCTATTTTACTTTTGTAATAAGCTGAATTTACTGGCAAGGACAGTCCTGAATTCAAAGCAGTACCATTTATGTTTTAAATCTGCAGCATTGTGAAATTTCAGTTTGTCAGGAGATGGTATACCTAAATTGTAGACATTTGCCACTCCTGTCTTTTTTTTCCTCTCATTGAAATATCAAAGCTTGATTGCTAGAAATGGCACACATATTATGCTCCTGAGTAGTGCAGAGTATAGCTTTTCTCACAGGTGATAAGATCCTCATATTTAAGTGTCATTTTCCTATATTGCCTTACTGAAAGGGAGGAACAGTTGGAAATACTTGTAGCTAAAATAATGCCTTTTCAATCTTCCCCATATTTTCGGCTGCATTGTGCATGAGACAAATGATTTCATAGAATGCAACTTCTTGTGTAGTATTTCCCTTCTCACTGGCAAGAGGACAACTTCTCTGTGACAACTTATACCAATTGCTTACATGGGAAAATAATATTTGGAAAGTATTTCATGTATTTTTAGCTTCTTTCAATGTGAACTTAGCAGCTGGAAACAAGGAGAGCCAGCATGAAGTGAATAGCAGCTCTCTGTGGACGCCACTTGGAGCAACTGCTCAAAATTTTCCTATTAAGTAACCGATCTTACCTATCTTCCCCTTCATGTTTTCTTTTGTTGTTCTCTGGTATGCTTTTTATCATTCTTCTCTTTTCTGTTTATTTACTGCAATTCCTATTACGTTCTTTACATTTCATTTCTTTTACCCTCTAGCAATGTAGGTGATGCTTGGGGCTCAGAAATACACTGTTAAGGACTGTGCAGCTTAGTGGGCAGAATGACTCTCATTCCCAAACAATAAGTTTAAAATCCTGTGTGTAGTCTTATCTCTTCCATTTGTTTGGAATCATTACATTAATTCCTTGCTTTTTATATTGTCTGTAAAATTGATAAGCAACCAGCATATGTGATTCTAGTATTTTGCTTTTGAAAACAAATCACACTGATAATACTTAAAACAGTTCTCTTTGGGATGATGTTGAGAAGAGCCAAGTGGAAAGGCAACATTTTCAGTTTGACTTAGGGAGAGAGATCAGTGTGCCTCGTGGATATCTCTTGTACTATTAGTGACTGTATGGAGTCCAACATTTCTGTTTAATACTGCTTTGACTCTGTTTTTGCTGAAATGTTGAGCCACGCATCTTCACAACTCCATGGGATTATGTGAATTCCAACAATTTGAGTTACTGTTCTTGGGACCATGTTTATACTCCTACCTAGCGCTCCTTTAAAGCTAAAGGGATGGCACAAGTGTCAGGAGCAGAAAACAACAGGGAGCACAATATGAGGGAAGGACTGGGAGAGAGAAGGTGGTCAGCCTTGCTCTAAAATGCAGAGGGAGAGAAGTGGAGGGACCTGGAGCAGCAGGTACAGCAAGTATCTACCCTGCAATTGTGCTCAGTGATTTTGATTGTTTGACTTGGGGAGGCATCAGTCTGTTGCCACAGGCACACGGCTGTGACTCATGTGATGCTAATGTGTGAGCAGGATGAAAAAGTGGAGTAAGAAATGCTTTCTCTGAACGTTTTTCTTTGCAAACATTTCCAGCCTGAATTCAGGCTCCCTTCCCATTGTGTTACTCATGGAGTTTACGGTCTGCCTGTATAGACTTATTTTCATCCACTGCTAGTCACCTTCATGAGAACATATGACACAGAACTTTGTATATACCTTAGTCTGGTCTCTTTAGAATTTACAGCAAATAGCAAAACTTAGTCAAAAAGATAAGCACGGAAGTGGTTTATACTAGAGTGCAGGATCCTGTTGGTTTTGAATCCATGATGTATCAACAACCGAGGCTAAGGATGGGTGAAAGATTTCAGTACTCATTGCAACAGCTTTATGTTTTACTTTTGAGTCCCTTTCTGCTTCACAAGCAGCAAGAAACATGTCCCAAAGATATGAAAGTTAACAGTCACACTGAGATTA